AGCACAGCTCTCAGCCCAGCCCTGGCCGGCACTGACACCTTCTTGCTCCAGTGAAGCACCATGGACTAACCGAGGCAGAAGAGTGGCTTGTGCCTTGCACTAGGGGCAGCAAGGAAACACCTGCAGGCTGCTCTGCTGCCTCAAGGCACCAGGAGCCAGAGATGTCTGAAGGAATACCTGTAACCAGCCAAGGGAGCTAAAACTTCCCCAGGGCCTATGAGTCACAATGCTGAAGGCGAGTGAAGACCTTAAAGGTGTTTTGTCCAGGCTTATTTTAAATTTGCCAAGTGATGAGGAGCTTATTGCACTGAGTAACAAATTTCACAACCCAGGAGATTTCTTGCTGTTAATCTCAGATTTTCACCTTCCTTTTAAGCCATCATCCCGTAAGTCCCAGCTCCTTTTCCACCACTGCGCGCCTTATCAAGAACATTTTTCAAGCACAGTTTCATCTCTTTCCCCAGCCCCATGCAAACACAAACAGCAGGCAGAGGAGTGAGGTCAGTGCTCAAAGCACAGCACCAGGTGGTGAGGAGATGCAGAAGATATTCCATGTCAGAGAGGGTGGACCCAGGGCAGAAGGTACCTCATTAGATGCACCTTTTCATCACCAAAAGCAGAAATGGAGAGATGAGGAGAGGAAGAGTGGGAAAGTGCAGAGGACTGAGCGAGGGGAATCCTGTGTGTTCATTACCCTAATAAACTGCCTCCCCAGAGAGAGAAGATGCAGAAAAACCCTAAACCCAGCTTGGATTACCTGGCTAAGTCTTTTGGGCTAGAGTCCACTTCACACCTTCCAAGCCAGAGCTTCCCCTGGTCCTCCTCTCATTTTCCATCCACATGGCACCTCGCCCCTATTCCCTTCAGATCTGCAGTTCCTTTATTGCCTTAACCTCCTTCATCTGCCTGCCCAGAAGTGCCCAGCTGCTTCCGATCCTTAAACCAGTTCAACAGATTAAATATCAGCTGGGTAAGAAATTTTATTTTAACTTACAAGCTGACACAGTTATTGCCTTTTGGGGACAATATAAGCAACTATGAGAATTGTAAGGGACAGTAAAAAGCATTCTTATTGGTAGGATCCAGGGGTAGAATAAATTTATGGGAATGATTAGGTATGAATCTATTCTGTTTGCTTCTATGAAGTCACAGAACTTTGTAAAGTCTTCTGTTACAGAACTTTCCCCTTTGATTAAGTTCTTTTTGTAAGAAAATAACCCCACTGGCTTCAGCTATGCTCCTTGTCAGCACTTCCAAGAGCACAGGTCTCCCAGAGCTCCCAAATAGAAGATGCTCTTGTTCATCTACACTGGGTGGAAGAATAAGCTTGATATCCATCACACACACACACCCCTGTCCATATTGATACATTTGTAGCACAGTCTGTGGGGAGATTTATTGCCCATAATGGTTAGTGAATTGAAAAAAAAAAAAAGCTTTTAAAGCCTTTCTGTGAGAAAAGGTGGGGCTGAAATTTTGAAGATGGTAAAGTGACTGTCCTCATTTGGTCTAATGATTCATTGTGCAAGAGATCTCACTCAGTGTGCTGGATTTCATAAAAGCACAGTAAACACAAGGAAATCAAAAGTAGTCCAAATATGCAAAAAAGATAGACCCAATCAAGTCACACTCATGTCAAATTCCATTATTCAATTAGAGCTAAATAAAATGCCCTATCAATGTAAGCCTCTTTAATCTGACATATTTGAATTATTAGAAAATGGGTCTTTTAGATTTATAGAGAAGAACACAGAAATATTAATTTTTTATATAAATTGGAAAATGCAAAAATATGCTTAAAAGGAGAATATTTTTCACATCTAGCTTTCATCCTGCAGGACATGCATTTAAAACTTAGTCAGAACTGACATTTATAAATAATCATCCCTTTCTTTACTTACGGAGATTAATTTAAGAGAATTCAGGCACTCTGTATTTGCATTTGAGATGTGCTCATGAGAGACCAGCCTTTCCCAGCCAGGAGAATATTACAGAGCTGGAGATCATTACCGACCTGCTCTGCTTGCAGAGCTCCCTGTCACCCTGGCTACCCAGCCTGTTCCCTTCAGGCAGGAGACAACTCACATTCCAGGAGATTTAAGTAAGATTAAATCCTCTCAAAAACCCTGCCATGTCAGCACTCCTAGTAAAACTGTCTTTACATTCTTCTTTCAAACAACCCTTGAAGCAAAACATAGGTAAATGGATTTATTCAGGGGACCTCTTGATGATTTAAAAGCAGCTTTCATGCTCACCCCTCCCCTAGGCACTGCACTCCTGCAATGAGGATTCACTGCACTGTGTTCCTCTACCTGAGCTCTGTGCAGGGTCTGAGTGCTCAAACTGCCCTGAGTCCCCAGATACCCACCCACAGGGGCAGGAGCTGCAGGGAGAACTGAGGTCCCTCAGCCCGTGGTGAGCTCTCTGGGGTGTTTGCTAACCCCAGGCTGCCTCTGGAGTGCTGCAGCTGTCACCTTCCCTTCCCCAGGAAAACACCACAGCTTGCTGTGCATGTGTGGTCTCCATTTCTCCCCTCTCTGCTAGGGTGCCACAGCGTTTCCAGTGTAAAAGCATTTCTGAGACCCCTTCATTTCTGTGAGCAGTGGTGTGACTGATCAAAGAGCTGCTGGGAGAGGGTCAGGGGTCCCTGTCTGGTGCCTTGTGCCTGCAGCACAAAAAGCAAATCAGCTGCAGAGCTACAAAGCAGCAGACACACTCCTGTTTGCTGTGGAGCCTCTGGGGACAGCAGTCACTGCTGATTAGCTGAACTGGATAAATTTATTTAATTTCTCAGTTGTTTTTTCTTGGTTTGTTTCAAAAGTCTAGGTTGAAGACTCTGGGCCTGACATTTCCTTCCTCTCCACATGGGTGGCAGATTTGCAGCTTGGCAGGCAACCTAGGAGACTCATGCAGACATTTTAAATGGTGACATCTATACATGCAAGGAAAAAACCTGACAGATGCAAAGAAATTATAAAGGAGAGAAGCACACAAGCTAAGGATGGCCATTCATTTTAGAGCCATAACACAGTACTTGCTAAGAGCTTATGTTTTTGCTTCTTATTCTGATGGGAAAGTAGACACATTTAGAATTCATGACTGCCAGCAGCTTTCCTTCCATAGGAAGGTTGGTTGCAGCACACCCTGTAGAGGGCTTATTCTCTTCTAGTCTTTTATAGCAAAAATTATCTGTGAAAGGCAACTCCATTCCACTGACTTGAGAACAGACTTACTTCTCAAGGTATATTTTTCTGGCAACACTATGTATAAAGGAATTACAGTACAACTATTATAAAGAAAACAATCCATGTGGGAAGTTTGTGACATGGCTATGACCTTGGAGCAGACATACAGTCTGGTTTTGGAAAATACTGGAAAACTCACAGCTCTGAAACTTTCCATAAACAGTTTATGAAAGAAAACGAAATAAACAAACCTGAATGAATGAAAATCGGGTTATCAGATTATTTTCAAAACAGATATGTTTCAGGCTGTTAAAGAAAAGCAACTAGGAAACACAGATGTGCAAAATTAAATACTTATTATCCTACATACACTGCAGTACATGGAAAATCAAGATCTGCTAGCATCTACAAGAATTATCTTCAAACTTTAAGGAACGAATGAAAATTGCAAGACGTTGCAGATATTTAGGACACCTCAGGAGCCTGTGAAAAAATGCTCTGTATTGAACTGTCAGCCTGCACAAATATGTTATGCCAAGCATTCACATTAAACACTTCTTACATACCAGTCTGTACACAGTTTTCAAATTTGTGCTTAATGGAAGTACTCAAATGAAACAAAACATCCTGATCACATAAAGTTTCCATTTTTGGTGATAATCTGCACTCAAAAGCCAGAAGGCAGATTAAATAAGATCAGATGGAGGATAGGTAGATTAATATACGTGCATGCATGTGGACATTCCCACATTCCGACATATATGCATGATGGAAATCAAAACTGAAAACAGGAGACATTTAATGGATGCTTATATCATCAGATGCCTGTATTACATTAACAATCTGCTTTTCTCTTAAAAGAAATAAAAGCAGGTTTTTAGGTTTGGTTTTGGTTTTTTGTTTTTTTTTACATTAAAGACAACATTTGGCCTTCAAATTATATATATGAAATTTGTACTGTCATCTACAGTACAATCCAGTACATCTACAGGAATCCAGTAAAACATCACTTTACGCAGTCTTAAAATTAAGACTGCCTATCATCAAGTGTATTTGACCAGCAAAAGGTTACATTACTAAGTCCTTACTGGACACCTATTACAGACAGACACAAAACACAAATATGTTGAACTGACACGTATTGCTCTTACCAAAGAACATTGGTTATTTAAGGCAACTAGAACAGTAACCAGAAGCTACATAGAAGACTAAGTAAATTTTATTAAAACACAAGGTAGTTGCTGATGCCAGCACGTCCAACAGCTTCATGGCATAAGCCTCGTTAGTTTCAACACTCAATTCATTGACACAGGAGAAAAGCCAGAAACTAAGGGAAATGCAGACCATCTGCTCAATCCAGATGCAGCAGAACACACTTCTTACCTCCAAAGCAATTTACAATCGACAAACTCAGATAAGATCACTTTAATCATCTAACTATAGATCTGAGAGGTTTTTTGCATTGAAAGTAAAACTGGACTGCATTCGAGTTGAAAGAAAACTTTGCTGTTTTTCTCACCTTTAGCATCTCTCTCAGTATAAACCAGTTCTAAATAAAAGAGATAACTAGATATGGCAAATATCATTGAAACAAATGTGGGCACACAAGCAGCCAACAACAAAATCCCGGTTCCTCTGCTCGATGTTCTAAACGTGTCTCACTGATGTAACTGGCAATGAGCTTCACTTGCAGCTTTTAAGTTCCTAGAAAGTCAGTGTGCATACCTATAATTTCCTTGCGATACCAGACCCCTTTTAACACACGAGCTAAAGTCCCTTTGCCCGTAAAACAAACTAAACAGGAAAACGTCTTACCTTGAAATTATGAACCTTCTCGTATTTTGGAACGTGTTCATTTTCCTTCAGAGTTGCTCTTCGGACAAGCGACGTCAACTGCGAATAAGCAAAGAGTTTAAGAGGTTGCCAGATTGTCACGGACGCCTTACGAGCGCCCAGTTTCATGCCCAGGGCTGCGAGCAGCAGATCGCGCTGCTGCCGGCCC